GGGACACTGTGCTTTTCCTGCTCTTTGTGGAGAGAGCCTTTTATGTCTGATAGCCATGCTCAACGCTTCCAAGTATTTCCCCTTTTATTTTTCAGCATCCTTTTGGGTTTTGTAATAGCTAAGGATATAGTTATTTACTGTTACTGCATTAGTATCCAGAGGTCTTGCCTAGCACCAGAACCCCACTGCAGTATGTACTGCATACAGCACAATTCAAGATGTTCTCACCCTAAAAGACTTACAAATTAAATGAATGAAACAGACCCACGCTGAGAAAAAGAGATTGCATCTGTCAGTGTGTTTCAGACCCTAAAACTGAGTCCAGCATCATACGTGAATACTGCAGCAGAGGAAGTCTGCAGAAAATTTCAAAAGATAAGGTTAAATTCATCTTGCTGACAAAGTCATTGTCCCGGAGCAATCACTCAGCTCTGTGGCACAATTAAATACTCACTGGCCTCCAGAGAGCACAAGCACAACTCTGGTGATTAAGGCATTCTCCTGAGAGGGGCAGACACACATTTCAGGCCTTTTGCCAGAGAACACATAATGTGAAAGGATTAAGCATTCATCAGTGCAGACTTTTCCCATTCCAGGCCATGGCTCCTGACTGCTAACCTGCAAAGTTGAACTGCATCTTTCTGGCCCAAAGAATACTTAAATAATTAATTCAAAGGGAAATAGTTGATGATGTGGGATAGGACAGGACAGGACAGTAGGGTAGCACAGAGTAGCATATAGCAGAATAGAAGAATAGAAATATAGAAATACAGAAATGTAAAAATACAGAAATAGAGAAATAGGCTAGGCTAACCAGCAACACAGGGAAGAGCCTGATGATTTCCTCAGATGTGTACTCAGGTTCTCTCAGTAAGTTAAAGTGCTGATGGGCCTGAACACTGAGCTACTGAGTTGACAAAGGCCACTCTGCTTTTTCATACCTGCTTATGGGCCATGGATAGGCTTGTCTGTGGATAAAGCTGCTGTGAGAACCAAGGGTAACTTCAGGGCTGTGAGCACAGGCTGCAAAGAACTATGTCATTGAACTTTCATGTTTCTCCATTATAGTTCAGTATAACTGCTGCTTGAAATGGTGGTCCCATCTCCTTCAGCTTGCGTTTCTCAAACTCCAGGAAGCACAAGGACATCACAATTTTAATGCCAGATCTAGCAATGATGTGGGTATGGGGCTTGTCAGATCAAACTGTTGATTTGATACAAAATTTATCAATTTTTTTAGAGGTTATGGCATGGTGTTAATAACTGTCCTGTGGCCACTGAAATTGCTGTCTCCAAGATAAAAGCATCAGCAGGACCCTAACTCAGTAGGAATCCTTAAATACACCAGTGTAAGACTGAAGCAGAGCCAGTCTTTGGCGTTTCTTATTTGTTTCCTTAAGAGATTCCCCATTTGCCATGGTGGCTTTAGGACAGTTACAGAAGGAAGCCACGTACCCAACAGACCCAGCAGAGAACTGCAAGGTCGGTATGCAGTCAAGTCCCTAAAAACCAGATATGCTGCACTGAACATTCCAGTGCTGAGATGATCTTTTGGATCTGGGTCACTCTGTGATGATGCAGGTAGTCTCAAATGTAAATGCAGACCATCACATGGATGAGGCATATATTCCTGGCAAAATTGGCAGCTTTACCCATGTTTTTCTGGTTGAGAAATGATTCATAAACAATCAGATTGGCTCTGGCTCTGTGTGGCAGATTGCACATGAGCATGCAGCAGCCTTCTAGCAGAAAGCTAGGCTAAATCACTCACTGAAAGCAGACACCTTCTTTTGCATTTAACAGCAAAACTCAGCAAAGCACCAGCTTTTATTTTTGCTTTATCCTACTCACTCACCCAAGGCTCAAAAGACTGCAAATGCCTCTGGAGTATCAAAGCTTCAAATCCAGTGTAGACTTGGTTATTTTTCCCTTCAGCTGTGAGCATGGCAGTCATGGAAATGGGATGAATACTCCCCATCTAGATAATTTAAAACCTGTGTTTAGTATTAATTCTGTCACTTTTTAACCTGTTAGTTTGGAAAGCACTCAGCTGACAAAACAATGCCCAGTGCTTCTGACTATCTTGCACTTTGTAAGAGATGATTTTGTGAGCTCAGGGTGATTGCTGGAATGGGAGGGCTATGGTGCTTTTGGGTGAGATTAGTCAACTGGTAGAAGAACCTGCTCTGAGGGAAATGTCTGGCCAAGATGTAGGCAGGCAGTGACAGGATTAAAATATACAACATGTGGCACATTACAGTGGACATACCTAGAGTCTTCCTCCCTTATTCTACCACATGGACTGAGTCACACACTTTAAAATCCATTTTCTTTGCACGAAGGAGCTGTTCAGCTTAAATATATTCCTTCTGTAAATGGAATCTGTTCTTCAAATTTCTTTTGTTCTGCTGCTTTTATTTTTGTGGAAATTTTCCTTGGTGATGCCTTTGTTGTCAGTCTGGCCCTGAGAGGTGAAAACTATAAACCTCTCTAAATATCAGCAGCTCTAGGACACACCTCCTTGGTATCTTTCTATCTTGGCTAGAGGTGTGTGGAGTTACAGAACCCCAACTAGAGTGCACTGGTACCTTGGCTTTTCCTGCCCTCTTCTGTGCAATTATCTTGGGAGAAGTTACGGATCTAGGCCAGGGAAACTATGTTCATAACAACCATTATTTAAGCCTTTTACCAGGTTCTGTCCTTGCAGCAGGAACTGACATACTGTCAAAGTCGATAGCACCATGGCAGTTTATTGCACCAGAACACTTGGCCTTTTCTTTCCTCCCATCTCCTGAGCTTGGCTGCTCTCCTACATGAACCCTGGCTCACTCCTGCCCTTAATAATATCTCCATGCTCCATATGCTCCCTCAGCCCTTCCCAGAATCTTCCTCACTGCTGACATCAGGTACATGCACAACTCTGTAATGTCCTGACAGCCCTTTTCAAACACTGGCTTGTAATCAGATGTTCTGTTTCCCCAGCACTTCCTTTTCTCACAGAGTACATTTGAAATGTGGCTGCCAATAGTGGTGGTGTTCCTTCTCCACTGCCTTATTTTATTGCTTCTATATTCTAAGTCAGAATTTTGTTGCTTTTCAGATGCTCTGATTTTGTATTTTTTTCTTTGGTGCTGTGTTGTGATCCTAATTTCCTTCAGGATTTCCGCTTCCTCTCCTGGGAAATTTGTCTCTATTTCTGGCATCTGTCCTTCCTAACCCTTCCCACATTTTTTTTCCTTCCAAAGACAGGGGAAAAGAATCCATTTAATATTTTTCTGTAGTAACGTCTATCTCATCTGTCAATAAATTACACTTTGCCATCTATGGGAGACCCCTTTGTCTCCCTTCCCTGACCTTATTCTGTGCCTTGCCTGTTTTTTTTTTTTTTTTTTAAGGGAGGATGCAATATCCCTGCGCTGTCATTCCATGAAGAACAGCTGTCATTCCTCCCATAGTGTATGTGCATGTGTTTAAGGAGGGAGGGGAAAACGAGGGGGGAATTAGGGGAAGGCAGGGAGCTGCTCTTGGAAAATATGATGGACCTATTCACAGTGGAGAGGTTTTTTTTCATTTGTGATATTCGGCTACAATTCTGTCTGTTTCTTCTAGTGGTGTTAGACATTTATTTTCTGATTAATAGAAATCTAATGCTCATCTATCTGAAACATAACCACAAGAATATTTATTAAACATGTTTTTAGAAATCATTATGTATGCATTTCATAAATTTCTCATTTCTTTACAGTCTCTGCAACTACGAATGCTATCTCACTGTCAGAGCTGCAGTTTGATACTACAGAGTAGGTATTCAGAAAGCTTATTTGTGGCTAAAAACCACATGACTTTTCCCTATATTTTCAGTGTTGCAACCTGAAATACTCACTGAAAGGGTTAAAGGGTGTGCGTAAGACCTGCAGGCAACTAGCTAAATGTGCAGACCTACAAAAGGAAGAGACAGATCCACAAATCCAGCAATTCCTGCCCTTTTCTTACTCCTCCTTGTGCTGTTTGAAGCGCTGCAGTATCCTGGAGAAGTCACCGCGGAGCATTCCCGGTGTATTTTGTGGTGCAAGGTCTGCTTTGTGCTGGTCACACATAGTACAAGGTACAAGTTCCCTTCTTCTTGCCTCTGCTCCCCACACAAATAAATCAGCATCGAATAGAAAAGCAAATTCTAGCTTTGATCAAACTTTACCAATATAAAGAAGAAACTTTACCAAATCAAAGAAACAAAAAAACTAAAAAAAAATAATTCACTGAAGATGTCCTCACCTTTGTTGCATCTGGTAATTACATTTCTTAACACATTTTTTCTCACAATATGGACATGAACTGAGGAAATAGTTATTATCTGTGATGCAGGTGCATAGCAGACACACCAAAGTGACCTCAATGTACAAGACACACCACATGATGGTGCCCTCATTCTCCAAGCACCTGAATCAAAAACCTGGTGAAACACACCATGAGCCTTGTTTAATCCACCCCTGGAGTTTTCTCTGTTTGGAACCAAGCTTTGAGCATGGAGGTGTTCCAGCAGTCAACTGATGAACTTCAACCAAACCAAAAAGTATGTCTAGATATGACATACATATCAAACTTGCCACTTCCTTGTCCTGTGCTAGCAGGACATCAGAAGAACATCTTTTATCTTAAAACCACTATACTACTTATTTTACAACTGCCTTGTGAGTTATGTCTGCTCTGGCTCTTTCTCTGACACCTGGTGGCTCTGACCCCTAGTCTCTGTGGGATTTAGCTACCCTAACTGAAAGGTAACCTATCTCCACAGCCAGAGATAATAAATTCTTTAGCCACCACAGCAAAATACATTTGTTATTAGTATTATAGTAATACAGTATTATTACTAAACGAAGACAGTGATGGCTTAAAACTCTCCAGGGTGAATCACCGGGGCTTGGGAACCAGAGCCCTTAAATCCCATGGAATGTAAGGTCATGGTGCTGGAAACAGTCTTATACCTGCAGGGACTAAGGCTCTGTCTGCATATGAAAATACGGTTTTCAAATGTGTCTTCCTAGTATTAGCACTAACCCTCCTCTATCACCAGGAACAATGCTGGGAGTCTGCTGAAGAATGGCTCCTGGCTACAGCCATCTTCAGCACTCTCCCATGTTAATTATTCAGGTCTTTTGTAAAAAGACACCTGTGACAACTGGCAGAGTACCTGCACCAAGACTGCCAGCCCTGAGGCTGAGAAACTGTTAAATAGCTTTAGTAACAGATTATTAAAATCTTGATGATGAGTGAGTGTGGGTGGAATAATTGTCTACTCAGAAAAGAGGCGCCTTTTTCTCATTCTCTTCCTGTAGTTGAATCCTTATCTCCTGGGTAAATAAAACCAAACCTCCTCAGTTATTATTGTTCTTGTTCACCTTTTGTCTCTTGATTAGATTTACCCTTGATAAATGCCTTTGGCAAGGAAAGTGGAATCAACACATTTCTGGTGCAAGCTCTGGTGGAATTCTCACCCCCTGCTCCACCTCAAGTTCCTTGTTTTCTGAATGGCTGTTAATTACCCGTCTTTTTAGCTCATATCTGAGATACACCTTCCTCTGATCACTCACTCTGATCAACACACTGCTCTGCATCACACTGAATCTTTAGCTTATTTTTAACCCTCAGCACTTGAGGCCAAACCTGATGCCTTTATGAAGAGAGAAACTCATGGTGATAGATGCCTCCCTTGGCTGCTTCTCCTGTATTTTTCAGTGTTCTCCCAGATGAGACCTCAGGATTATTGCAAACCAGTCCCAGGAAGAAATGCTGCTCAATTAGGCAAAAAGAAACTCTAAGGAAAAAAAAAAAAAAAAAAAAGAGGAATAGAGCCAGCAAATTGCTTGAGATAACAATCTCCCCCCACCCCTGTGTCTCTGTAACTAAGAGGATTAACTGAACTTTCTGTGTCACACCAAAAGTGACAATAAGCAACAGTGACTTCCCCCATGCTGGCACTTGTACCTTCACTTGTTTCATTTTCTTGCCCATACTGATGCCTTGCCCCTTGCTGACTGTATGACAAACTTGGGGATGAACATGATGGCTTTCCTTTCCTTTTAGATTTATGACTCAAAGCCAAACAAAACTCAACTCTAGTTATTACATGCTCTGTTTCCTGCTAACAACTCACTTTTAACTGTATAAGCTAACCAAGGAAACACGGAAATAGGGTCTACTTGATCTCACCTGATCTGTCTGCTGTTTGCCAGAGACACAAACAGCAGCCTCAAGTCTGCTACCACAGCAGTAGGCATAAAGTCATCCCTTGGGAGCAGGACCAAACCTGCAAAGTATATATAGCAGAAGTCCCATTAAAATTCAAAACTACTGAGGCTCCATGTAGATACAGTGCTACAACCAATGAGATGATGTTCATTTCAGGTAAAGATTTACCACTGTGTAGTAGGAGAATTACCCAGGGTACTTTAGCATTAAGGGGAAACAAAGCAAAGGGCTATGTCGCTAATGACTATATCAGCCCCATTTTCCTCTGACAATGGTGTACATGTGGTGAAAAAAATATGGCTTTCAGTTGATCAAACATCAAATAATTCCAGTTTCTATATCAAACCGATTCCTTTTTGCTGAGCTGCACAGAACATCACTTTAAACCAGGTGAGCAACTCCTTCCGTGACCCTGAACAGAACTTGTATGAAGAGACATGAAGATGATGTTCTAAAAGACAACACAAAGGAGGAGTATCCTCCCATCAACACATGCCCTTCTCCACCCTGAGTTTCCACACAAGACCACAGCAGATACAAAGGTGGAGATACAAAAGGTGAGTGCCTCCGGTACTATAAGGGCCACATGCAGGTACACAGACCAAGCAAGCAGTTGTGCCACTGATACCCGGACTCGTTAAAGTTGTAAAGTAGGTATGCTTTTCATTCAGCACTGAGATGCATGGGGATAGTTCCTCCAAAGTATGCACACCCAGGGTCGTTCTTCCCTCTACATTTATTCTCTTAAGGTATACATATGCATTAGATTACTTGATATGCCTATACATATTTAGTATCCATCCCTGCTTCATATTATAATGAGCTAGAAGGTCCTTCGTGCCTGCGCAGTGCCCCCTCTGGTCATGAGTAGGGGTCTCAAGATGAAGTAAAAGAGTCTTCCTCCTGTGAGTAGGGGTCTTCAAGATGAAGTAAATGAGTCTTCCTCTTCTTAAACTTATCACCTTTTAGTCTTCATGTATGGCCTTAGGGTTTGGTCAGTGTCCCAGCCATAAACCATCTGCTTCTCCCCCTTATCAGGCCTCTGCTTTTCCTTATCAATAGCTGCTTATCAGTAGAATCAGGTGTCTGCTTTTCCTTATCAATAATTAGTGCCTTTGTTCTGCTTAGTAGGCATGATAGGTACAGACAATACTTTTGTTTAAGTGAGTGAATTCCTCTAACCCCCTTGTACATTGGTTAACCCTGTATCACCACCAGTGAGGAAGGAAGTGGAAAGTGGGAGGAAGCAGGAGAAGCAGAAATACTTTCACACTAATGTAGGTACCAGCACTTGAAAAAAGAATATTGTGATAAAACAAACTGGGACTTAAGTGACTGGCAGTAGGGTAGGGATTGAGGGAAAATGCTGGCACAGCAAAATGTGTAAGAACTGTTGGGGTTGGGTTATAAACTGAACAGGACTCGCCAGTGTTTGTCAGGGGGTTTTACTGAAGTAAGCATCTGTTGTGATACAGATGTTGTGATACAACTCCCTGCACCTAAATTAAATCACTATGGCATTTCTGCCATGTTAAACAGTGAGAGCAGGTACTCCTAGGCCACATAAATTCAGCGAAGTAGTGGTTTGGGGGTCCCTGTACAGCTTTATTTGCGATCAAAGGACATGGTGTTGTGGGGGAGAAATACCTCTAGATAGATTTAGACTTTTACTCCAAAAACGTGCTCTGACTAAGGCACTGTAAAAAATGCCCAGTGTATTGCCATGGGGTAAGGACTGCCTTGTCACTCTATAGCAAGCCCTGTCTCTCGCTTATATGGATCAGCAGTTTTACTTCAAAGGGATCTAGGTCCATTCTCTTTCCCCATTTACATGAAATGGGACTAGAGTGGAGCGTGGCAGCCTTTTAACAGTGCCCCACAGCACTGCAAGAATTCTGCCTAGACAGTGAAGGACACCGTGTCCAATTGAAACTACAGAGGAATTTGGGGTAGGCAGAATGTAATTACACAATTGGAATTTAAACTGTGAAATTAAAAAGAAATATTCAAGGATGAAGGGGCTGAGAGAATCCCTAATCTTCAGCTAGGCAAGGCTATGTGACAGAAAAGTCCTTTTCTGAAGAGGGAATAAGCAAAAACCCTGCCCTGGAAGAAAGGGAGGTAGAGACAATGTTTTCAAAGCACCCTAACTCCAGCTGTGTGCTTGTTCCTTAGGCTATGTCTATTCCACAGAAAACCTTGCGGTTGCTAAAAAGTGTCAGATGTGTCCCTCTTGGCCCTCTCTTCACTGAGGTCAAAACCAATTTGGTTCCTCATGTAAGCAGCACCAAAGCATTCCCAAGGTCTACATCAGAAAGCACGCTGTATGGTCAAAAACCAGGAGCTCATCCCTCTTTTTCATAGAGGTACAAAACAGACTGTCCTTCCATATGGGGTCTGTCAGACTGCAAGCATTCTTGCTGTAAGAGCTGAGCTTTTCCTGAGTCTTAGTTAATAATCCACATAACAAAAAATATGTATTTTTAAGGGCTCCTCTTTAGTAAGAGAAGGCAGAGAAACCCACTGAAAGCAGATCTGTGGCAGCTTTGGAGTTGGCAACTTGAATCAGGCAATTACAAGACATCTGAGTCAAGCTGTAGGATCCTGCTGTTGTCCCTCTCAGAGTAGAGAGACAGATAAAGATGGATCCAGCCTTGTAGATCTCTGGGGCCTTTGAATCAAGGCACTGTAGAGAATCAGAGCTTCTCTTCTTGGGCTGCCCAGCAACACATGCAGCTGAAGACAGCTACTGAATTTCTCTGCCTTAGTTTACCATTGCTAAAAAAGCACAGTGATAATTTTTCTGTACCTTCTAAATTGGTGATTTGTAAGATGTAATTGATCAAAATTGGAAGGTGCTCAGATGCTGCATTGATGACCACCATTTAAATGCATACAAAAAATTAAGCTAGAAAAAGTGCAGCCAAAACAGCAGACAGCAAGAAACAGATTGAAAAACCCACCTGAAAAGATGTGTCCTCCTAGTGACTACCTCTCCCTTTCCTGAGGATGTGTGAAGGTTCTGAATTATGGTTTTGTTTTATTTTTTAATATGAAAAACATGCTTCTGTGCTCCATTTCTTACCTTCAAAAAAGCAGCTAGCTGCACCTGGGAGGGGCAGAGTATTGTAAGATGGAACAAGTTCCCTGCTTACAATTTCAATAGCTGGGAGACTCAGAGGATCAGCAACAAGTCTCAGAAATGAGAGATTCCAGCTCAGCTTTTCTCCAATCCAGAGACAACAGAAGGGGGATGAAAACAGAGCTGGAAAGCAGTCTGGTCAAAGGCAGACAGAAGCGTGTGTAGGGAAAAATAACAGCCTATATATGCAATGGACAGTCTCACAAGGCACACAGGAAGGAGCTTTGAAGGCAGGGCAGAGCATAATACTGGAAAGGGATGGTGCTGGTGGGTCCCACACCTTGGGGGTGAGGGCAGAGAGTCTCTGCCACCCTTGGAACAGGAGGAGGGTGGGGAGCAACACAAGAAAGAAAGAACAAACAGCTTTGTGGTTAAAGTACTGATCACCACAGTCTCAGAGCACTCAGGCCCAAGGCTGAGTCCCCCTGATGATGCTGTGACACTGGAGGAGCTATGAATGGTCTTTCTACTGCTTTTCATGACTTCTCTTCAATCAAGGAGCTACTAATCCAATTTTTCACATGCTCTTTGCCTGCCATCTCTCTAAATTACAACTTTTTTGAGACATGGATGGTCTTTTGTTGTTCATTTATTGATAGCATATTAAAAAAATGAGACTGAGAGACTGCCGGTCTCTCAGAAAGGGCATGTATTACACACGAAAAATGGTAAACAGAGACACAAAGGTAAGTTTAATTAAAGGTGAGGTAGTCTGAGCAGTCTGAACTGGAATGAGCTGAGAGATTTTGGGGAGGTATGCACAAAAGCCTAAGGGGCAAAGAATGACTTTCATGGCAGAAGCCTCTGCCACAGTACCTGGAGGACCAAAGGGAATGCTGAAGCAACCATGACCCTAGAAATAGGGCTTCCTTGGAAGGAAATTATCTGTGAAGAGGATAGAAAGAAGGGATATTCTGTGAGAAAAGCAGCATCTGGGATTCACATCTGAGTGGCACAGTGGAATTGGAGCAGAGCAGATACGTTCGCTCTTCATTTCTCTGTACTCTAAAACTGTGTGAGGAAAAGGGTAATTTCCTTTCCAATGAGCTTTTTGCTTAAATACTGTGATTTGTGTTTCTTTTGTCCCCTGCCTCCCCATGTTCAAAAATAAAAATAGTCCCTGAAACACTACTGAATTAATTCTAGCAGGAGATAGACAATTCAGAAGGTAATACAGTGATCACAGAAAACTTTGGGCTACAGGCACAAGAACAGACGAAGGAGAGATAGGAATTAGGAGGTGGTCTTGATCAAAATGCACACAATGGACAGAGACATACTGCAGAGCTTTAAAAGATCCTGCAATACTATTTCTTCCCTTTACAGGTGTGTTGAATTCTAACACTATATAGTTTTTCACAGTCAGGAAATATTTTTAAAGCTAAATCCCTGCAAGAGGCGACTCTACAAAGCTGACATGTCCAGTAAGAGAACAGGAGCATGGAGTACTGCAAGGTGCTCCCTGCTTTGGGCTGTGTTTGAGCAGAGGATGTGTGTTCCTAAGCACCACTGTGAGCCCAGTCTCGCTGACTGCAGTCAAACAACTCAGTTTCACACTTACATCTTTTTATGACTCCAGAGTGCTCAGCTTCTTGCAGGAAGCTTCATATCATCTTTGTGTCCAATTACCTCAAATTTCAAGTATTTCCAGCAAGGCGCTCACGAGTATGACACCAGTCAGGCACTATGTGGAAAGTAACACCGAATAATAAGTGCAGGAATCACAAGCTGTTTGCAGACAACTCACAACTGAAAGAGAGGTAAAATTTATCTTATAAATTATTCATCACTAATGATTTGGCTAGCTTTCCTGGATATATAGCCACAGGGATGTATTACACCTTGGGGAAGGCATCAGCTAGAGATGCATTCAAAGTAAAGTAGGGAAGAGGATGCAGATATAGGTTGAGAGCAACCTTTAAAGAGAAAGGGAGAGCAGCTATGTGGCCAAAGAGAATGAAGTTGTCTTTATAGCTGGTCAATTAAGAAACATGGAGCAAGTTAGTAACAATAGGAAAAAAGCAAACACAAATCCAAACAAAACCAGAAAAGCACCCCCCCCCAAAAAAAACCCCACCTGTTTGTTTTCAGACATCTTTTCTTTGGCAGCTATGGGTTCCAGCTAACTGCAGAAGCTGAACAAGAGGAAAAGGTGTAGTAATGGGAGCAAATTCTCACCTGTGAGAAGTTGCTAATATGAGGGAGGAGGTTAGTAGGAAGTAGCATGCAGGACTGAGAAGAGTCTACAGGTGAGAGGGGAAGAGATGAAAGAGAATATTCAGCGTAGGCAGGATTAGAGCTGTGCAGAGTCTTAATCTAGGCAGCCCTTTCTCTACACCTTTATCTGTTGCAGTGCAGCCACTGTGTGGCCATAAAACTGGATTAACTGGCCTGCAAGGATCATGGCTGAACAGAAGTATGACAGTATGCCTTTGTTTACACGTTCACTTGTGAAAGTGAAACACAGATCTTCCAGAGACAAAGCTCTTAATTACTAGTATGGAGTACCATTAATAAACATATGAGAGTACAAGCAGTGTTAGTGGAACGTTTTTGCTTTCTAGAGCACTGCATTTCTGCTAATGTTTTCTGCAGTATCAAGAGGTTTTTCTGTAGTGTGGAAAAAAAAAAAATCTCATTACTAGAGGAACTTATTTTTAAATAAAAACATCAAAATTACCTTTCTGATTCAGCCCCTGGAGAGAAACCCTACTGTTTTCCTCCTGCAGCCTATCCTTTTTTGGCTCTTCCCTCACAATGAAAAAAAATCTTGTGACTGCCTCTGACACGACTTGCAATTCCTTCAGCAACGGCATGCAAGAATGGATCCTTGCCTCCTCTTATTCCACAAAGGTTTTGAGCCCCAGAAGAAAATCTGGCTTGGACTCTGACCTCTTGAAGTTAATGACTCTAAAGACATTAAGACCGAGTCCTTAATGAATGCCATTCTGTACCACCACCTGTATTTTCTTTTGCTTTTTATGGATGTACATTACAAAGATAAGGTATAACCTGTATTTATGCAATATTAAGGTTAAGCATGTGAAGAACTTTCATTTTTACTCTGCCAAATCTGTCAAGAATCAGCTGAATTTTGCCCCTCTGCCTGCTTAGCCAATTGCCTGTCCCCATTTGGAAGTTTTGAATCTAAAGCTAGATTTATTTGTTGGTCCCTGTATTATCTTATTATTTACTCCCTTTTAATGAGGGAGGTGCGAAGCCCGACTTCCTCTTCATGTTATTCAAATCTGATGCGGTAAGTGGAAATACCTGGTTGAGAAAGACACCTCAGGAGCATTGTACTGCCCAGAACGAAGGATAAATTGTGTGTAAATCAGTGTGCGATTCTTAACAGAGGAGAATCGCCTCTTTAGCAATCGCTCTGTTCAGGCCACCACTCCGCCCTCCTCCATGGACAACCGCAATTTGCACGCAATTTTCTCTGCACGTAATTCCTCTTTATTCACATGGGATTCATTTTGCTTTGAGCTTGGGGAGTACCTGTCGTTCAGGCGCGACTACGACAGGTATTTTCACACCCACTTGCCGGTAACAGCTCTTCCAGAAATGCCCTTTCAGGCCAACGGCTGCATTTGATCTCAGTGTCATTTGCTCGCCCCTCTGTTAGTTCCGCGATTAACCACTCCCGCTACACCCGGTCTGCCTGGCGGCAGAACAGTTCGCGGAAGCTGCATGAGACATGGAGAGTACAACCCTTCCTCCTCAATGGGAGCGGTTGCTCCCTACCCCGCCGCCGTTAACCCATGGCTGCGGCCTCCCGAAGCCCCCCGGAGTCAGAGGCTCGGGTGGTGGCGGTTGAGTAAACCACCACAGGATCCCTGTCCCCCCCCATGCCAGCCAACGATCCCCCCCATCACACACAGGAACGCGTCGGGAAGAAGAGCGGGAGGGGGAGAGGAAGTAAGAAGCGCGGGTGACGCGTAACTGAATCAACACTGCGCACGGCGTAACCGTTTACACGGTAACTAGACCCCAGCCAGAAGTGAATGGAAAGCAGCAGCACGCCTGCGCAGTACCGCGTGCAGGCTGCACCAAGGGGGTATGGGGTGAGCGCTGAGAGGACGCATGCGCAGCGGCACACCTCCCGTTGGACGGGGGGACGGACGGGAGGGGGAAAGGAAAGATGGCGCATGCGCAGAGCGCTGCCGCGGCGCGGTGGTGTGGCGGCTGCGCAGTAGGGCGGTGGCGGGGGGAGGGAGGAAGAAGAGGAGGGGCTGGGGAGGGGGGGTGGGGGGTTCGGGCGCGAGGGAGGGTTTATCGAGCGGCCGATTTTGGTTAAAATATTCAAAATGGCGGACGGAGGAGCAGCGAGTCAAGATGAGAGTTCGGCGGCGGCGGTGGCGGCAGCGGCAGGTAATCATTACTGCGTTTTACATATTCATATTCATACTCGCACACGGGGCCCCCCCGCCGCCTGCCCGCCCCGCTTAGCATAATTTATTAGTACTCAGGATTATTATAATTAACGGCACAGGAGGGAGCGGAGGGGGGAGAGAGAAGGAAATCAAACCTCCCCGTGCAGAGATACACATATACATGCATATATACACACACACACACACGCACACACACCCCCCTTCCTTACTTCCACGGAGTCGCACTCGCACCCGCCCGCATGCTGGGGCATCGGCGGCGGGGCAGGCAGCCGGGTGATGGGGGGCGGCGGCGCAACGGCAAGGCGGTCGGGTCGGGGTGGGGAGTTGGTGTTGGGAGGGGGGGGTCGGGAGGAGGGGTGAGGGTGAAGCCATGAGGGGGGTGCATCCCCGCACCCAAAAGCGGCCCGAGATGGGTAGTTGCTTTCCCCCCCCTTCCCGCACGCCCACAATAAAAGCCGCTTTACATATTCATGGCGGGGGGGGGGGTGTGGGGGGCATGGATGCTGCTGGAGCGGTCCCGGGGCCGGCTTGGAGGGAGGGGGGCCACGGCCGGCCGGGCTGGAGGGAGGTGGGCGGCCCGAGTGGGGCAGGGTCCCCCGGAGGCAGGACGGAGGGGGACGGGAGTGCTGGTCCCTCGGTGCGGCCGGGTGAGCGAGGAAGACTTGGTTTCCTCATCTCTCCTCTCGTTAACTCCCCCCTCCCCCCGCATCACCCCAGCCAAGGTTATTTCCCCAGAGCCTGGGGCCCGCAGGCATGGGGTGTATATAGGTGTGGATGGCCTCGGGAAGGAGGCAGAATGAGAGCGTTGTTTGGCTTTTTATGCAAATTGCCCCCCACCCCCCAAGGGTAGGTTCAGTGTGGGGTGACTTCTGGGGTGTGCAGGCAGAGTTTCTCCGTGCTCCTTTCCAACGGGAAAGGCCGCATGTTTTCCACCCCCGAAGGTTGGATCTGCCCTGGCAGAGGTGATTGCCCTCCTCCCCTTTTGCCCTCCTGCTTTCATAGCTCCGAGAGTTTGAGGGGACTAGGGCGCTGCGTCCCCGGAGCAAACGCTCCCCTTCCTTCACGGTGCTGGGCACCCGGGCTCACGTCCTGGGCGCTGGGGCAGGAGCGGGTGGTGGTGGTGGTGGTGGCAGTCCGGTTGGGCTGGCACAGGGGTTGTGGGTCACGTCCCTGCCCCTCGCTCATCGCTCTCTCTTTCCTTCTCATTTGAATAATGTCTAATTCGGGGAGGTTTATATTATTGAAATGGCCGCCTGGCTTTCCCCGCCTCTCATGTTTAGTAATTCAGACCTTTAATAACAGCCACTCAGAGCCCAACGCCGTGTTTATATTTTACATTCGCCCCATGTGCTTTTGTGGTTCAATATGATTCTTCTTTCTCGCTCTCGCTTTTTAAAAATTTTCTTGGCAACCCACAGGGCCCCGAGATCAAGGCCAGGCTGTGTGAGGAGAGGAGGGGGAAGAGCTAGGCCCTGACTGCTCTGGCAGGCGCCTAGGCCTCACTCTCTCCTGCTTGATTTATTTACTAATAACCAAAATGACCCCCCCATCTCCACTCCACCCCTGCCAGCAAAAACAGAACCCTCCTGGGGCTTGAGCAGTATCAGATCTGCTCATAGATTCTTAAACACTCATGTCTTTTAAATAAGGAGCTTATTTTTAATTTATAGCAACTCAAGACTAAAGGTGTTCCTTTCATATCTGCTTTTCAGAGGCTTGGGCATGTTTGGTCCCTTTGTCCTTGATTCTTTTGCTTAAAGGAGAGTTGCTTCTAATTTATGTTTCCTGGCACTGAGAGAGCTATAGAAGACACACTTAAAATCTGAACAGCTTTCCTCCTCCTTCTGAACACAAACAGAATTGAATACATTGGAGATAATCTTACTCACCTTTTTTCTTAATGTGGTTGCAGTCTAACAGTGTGGTGTGTCAGATGCTTTTGTCACTGCTTATATCTTTGACTGTTGTGGGTTTTTTCTTCTTTTATTTTCCCTTTTCATTTAGATCTGGCTTTCATGACAGAAGATACCACTAGGCAGTACAGGGTCTAGAAAGGAAGATGAGTTTTTGGTGATTGTGTCATAAGAACACCAAGTGAAAATTGAAATTAATCTTCTTAAATTGCCTGGAGTAATTCATTTTTGAACTGGATATTGGTCTACTGAGAAAGAAAACAAATGAGCTACTTTATTAGAAAGAGGTAGTAATTTAAAAAAAAAAGAAATATTTGTGTTTCAGCTGAAACTGAAGGTTTTCATTAGTGACCATTGTTTTCACCGCGTGGGGAAAAAGGACCTAACAGCAGGGTACTTCAAAGTAACAGTGCCAGATTAGCATGTAAGAATCTTTGGGGCTTGGCTAGGAAAAGAGTTAACATACAAGTGCAGATGGTGTATTTTGTAGTTTGGTGCTAAATTTAACCTATCACAAAATACTGTGCTGCAGCTAATGAAAAGCATTTTGATTTAAAAAATAATAACTTGGGTTATTTATCCTTTTTCTTCACGCTTGGTGAAGACAGGCCTTGAATACTAGAAGGAAAAAAATGTGTAGAAGTGGTAATGAGACTGTTCAGGTGACTGTTTCACAGATCAGGAGCACAAGGCTGGCTGGACAAAAAGCAATAATATGATTTCATGCCTTAAATAGCATATGTTTCTGCACTCGTTTCACAAGATGTGGTCAAGCTGATGATGTCATTGGCCAGAGGACAAGGTGCAGTTAATTTGATTTATTGACCTGGGGTGAGGTGTAGCACTGAAACCTTCTCATAGGGAAACCATTTATCTGAGGACAGTTTCCTTTATAGCAGCAATTTAACCACTGCTGAGACTGTAGATATTTTATCCAGCATGATAAAAATGTACATTGCATCTTGCAAATAAAATTTCTTTTGTCACCGAAGTTTTAGTAATTTTTATAGGATGGAATACTGGACGGTGGCCCTATGTGGTCTTATGGCTGAGCTGGGGTTTATAACTCTGAATTCAGGTATTTACATGCCAAAATACAAATGTATTTCTCTCAAACATATATTTGTATGCCTGTATTGTAGCTTAAAATTTTACTGGAACATGATATGGGTAGAAATGTGTCCACACCCATGAAGCCTGTCAGCAACACATTAGTGGAAGCCCCTTTTTCCAAACTGCGGTGTCATCTTCATTTGTCAGAAGGTGCTGAGACTGATAAGTGGTTATTACTTCTTAGTGTTGAGTAAGGACTTTTATGTTAGTTTATCACTGGTGGGGTTTTTAGCTGCTTCTTGGACCTTTATCAGTGGTGGATGGGAGAGTAAAAGAAACTTTTTCTTCCCTATGGACTGTGTTTACAGTGGAGGGTTGTGCTACTGTTGCTTCCTAGTTCTTACCAGGGAAATATGTTCTCCTATTTTTGCTGTTCTTTCAGTTTTTGTTTTATTACAGAGAGAAGGCGGCTTGTCCTCCCCATGAAATAGTTCCCCTGCCTGATTGCCTCTGCTCACTTACCAAAGTGTCTCTGCCGTTTTTCTCTTGTATTTTTTTTCCTTTTTTTTCAAAGAAAACTGACGAGTCTAAGAGCTGGTTGGAGAACAGGCTGTGTCAGTAGCCATGCTGCTGCATGTGGTGCAGAGCTGTGAAGGTGTGTGACAATATGGTGATGCCCAGCTAGAGAAGCTAGGGGCTTACTCCTCGCTTTCTAGAAGAAAGGGGGAAGAATCTGAACTTCCCACCCTTTCATTTTAACAGGAAAAAAAAAAATATCTCAGGTTTCATGTCGCTACCAGTTTCTCAAGGATTAGCCTGCAGTAATAATTCAAGCAGTAAGTGTTAATGCTGACTTAATGATGCTGAGTGTGGATAGCTTCTGGATTCTTGTTTCGGTTGAGTAATGGTGCTGGTATTTGGAGTTGCCTCACTCAGTGGAAGCTGTGAGGTAGCGTTCAACTCTGTCCCTTAAACTTGGGAAGCACCAACATATTCTGCATTAGGAATCTCTTGTGCGGTGTGAAGAAGTGCTGCTTCTACTTCTGCTTGATTGTAATAATGCCTTACCCAGAAAAATGAGATTTTGGACACCATTGTCAATTAATCTCTGTCAAATTTCAGGTGGTAAATTCTGTGTTTAGCATAGCATATTTCTGTTGTTCTCCTTATGTTTAGATGCTCAAGGATGCAGATATTTTGGGGTAAATGTTTTGTCCATGCTGTCCAGAGTGCTTGTTTTGTTTTTTTTTGTGTTTTGTTTTTTTTTTTTTGAGTCATCT